CTGCGAACATTGCTGTTGGATACATGTGCTGGATGATTTTGTGTCACGCAGACTGGTAAGATAACCGTTTGATAGGGGGCACCGCGATGATTCACGGGGCCCCTCCTTGCTGTGGGAGCCGCTCTTTGAGTACTCCCTCTTTCGTCCGTGTGAAGGATGGTCGTCTACCTCCCGTGAAGTTAATACATCACCAAAACAGTCTCACCCGATAAATAAGTGGCGTAGGCCGCAAACAATAGGATGGCATGAGCGTCTCCATTCGTCCTTCTTCCCCATCACAATTATCCCAACTGAGGTTCGGGAGTCTCTTAGCTGCAGCTCTAGAGTTGAAGAATACCAACCATCAGATTTTTACTCCCAGATTACGCTGGCAAAACATGTGTACTTGTTGGCGGGGTGCACCAAAATCTGCTGGCCCAGATCAAGTTAGATTGGACTATCGAAAATTCACCACCCAATAGTGCGTTGAATCCGTCGCCTAGCACGTTGATGTTGACGGGGGAGGTCTGCCAACAGCCGTGCCGACTTTGGCGATGGGAGTGTCGCTTCGCTTCGTATGGTACACCTACAAATATAGAAGCACACGCATGAAAACGCACAGAACGGGCATCACCACGTACTCTCCGAACCTTGTCGTCGATGGATGGCATTCGCGGGAAGGTACCTTGCAAGCCGAACCGCCTACCAGTGCAACGTCAACTTCGCGAAGGTGTATTTTTGAGCCTTACACCACGCTGCTCCACGCGAGTTCCTTGATCCTGTAGGTAGAGAAGTGACTAACTGCACATCACGTACCAGCTACTCACCGCGTTGGGAAGAGGAGGCCGAATCTTTTTCCACGGCAGAGGGATGCCCCAATCACCGTTGCCAGCATACTGGCATGTTGAGCCTTTCGCCACCTTTCCCTCCCGCGCGGCAGCGGCGCTGGCCTGTGCGTGGGGAAAAATGGAGTTATCTCAATCAGTCCACGGGCTGGGGGCGGGGAAAAAACAAATCCCGACAAGCTCTACAGGCCTAGCACCCATCGAATCACCAACCCACCGGGTTTCGGAAGCCTCGCCGCCATTGCAACCGTGGCTGTCGTTTCCGCCGCATGTGCGTCTGCTTCTCTCGTGCGGCTGCCGCTTTCGCCTGTACGTGGGACGATTTGTTTTGCAACTCCCCGGGAAGCCATACCGTTGTGAAAACATGTTGATCAACTAAGGACAAACAGGACGTGACGTGCGAGTTTGATCCGTGTACAGAGTGCTTCCGTGTGGATCGTCTAAGCAAACCTATGCACAAAATGTACGTTCAAAACAAACGTACCTGGTTGTCCGCATTTCGCCGGGCAATCCCACGTCTCCGCTGCCGCCTGGATCCCCCAAGAGGATTTCGCCGGTGCCGCTGCCTTTTTCTGCCGGAAAGCTTGCACCTCCGCCACCGCCTTAAGTTCCGCTCCACCTTATACCTACGCCGCGCCTTGCTCCTTCGCTCGACCTTCGGATGCCGCCGTTGATTCGGCTCTGTGTCCGGAGGCGGTCGGCCCAGAAGCAACTCTTTGTCCGCGCACCATCCGGGTACCAAGCGGAGACGGGAGGTGTGTTGACGGGGAGTGGGGGGCGCAAGAAACGCCGCCACCGATCCCAACACAACCCCCATGCACAACATCAACATCCCCACACCCACCGCAGCCGCTGAAACCAGCCGCTGACACAGCAAGGCGGACTCCTCCAGAGCTCGTGCATTTTCAGCGGCGTTCCGTTTCGTTGTGTCCGTAAGCGGGACTCGTTGTTCGTCAACCTACAACATGGAAACGTGTGGTTTATATTTAATGGCCACATGTATCTCGCACGACTCGTCTTGCGTGTATTCATCTGATGGCTACAAATCGTTACCTGTAGGGCAGCTGCATTGGCCGGGGGCAGCAAAAGCACGATTTGGTTGAACATCGGTATCCACCGCTGAAGGTGCATCGAGCCATCCGGTCGAACCTCCTGGCGTCTGGTTGTCCCCGAGAACTCGTGTATGCTGGTGAAGGTTTCGTGGTACGTCAACAGGCTCATGGAAAGGTGGATAGTCGGCTCTGCCCCCGAGGGGTTCAGGGGTCCCATCAATTCCTTGCTCCAAGTTCCGCCTAAGGAGGTCCCGCCCTCACCGACGTTCATCGAACAACCTAGTCGAGTGTAGTTTCATGGCAACTTCGGGGTCAGAAGGGATCGCCATTGATACATCCCTTTTCTTCGCCCCCCTTCACGTGGAGTGCCGGCCTTTTGATAGAAAAAACGTGAGGGCGATAGATGTTTCACGCCCGATGTGTACGCGTCAACACCGGTCGGTGCCGTTGCTTCAACTCCGTCATGGTTTGTTGTTTCTCAAGTATCTTGCTATTCCTGCGTTTTCCCCTCGTCCGGCAGTTGACGTACTCCAACAACTGCTGATTTTCTTTTTCAACGAACCACTGCTGAATCAAACTTTAAAGATGTGCCGGGGGTGAGGTTGCTGGGAAACCTTGGTCCGATTCGAACTAGGCTCACCAATATAATCTAACAACCAACAAAACACCTCCATCGGTTTTGTATTAGGGCCAACATTAATGTCGTTAAGGCCAACGAAAGGCAGAAACGAAGGTTCTCTCGCTTGAAATACTTGTCCACCGTTCGGACCCAGGCTTGCTCTCTAATAGATTTGGACACGTTGATCTCGAAACTGCCACCGACAGTTCGAGGCGGCACCACGAACAAGAGCACCGCTGCTGTAACAAATTCGTGACCAAGCACTAACCGATTGTCGTTTCCTTGTTTGTCGATACGCAACCTCGCTTTCAGGGGTGGCTTCATGATGTCGTGCAGTCACGCAACTGCATGGCTAACCGGGACAGAAGATGGTGTGTTGTTACCCCCTGTGCTGTTGCCCCCGGCGGTGGGGGGGGGTACACACCGCCCGTGTCCCCGCGGCATCCGCCCGCTGGCCAGTAGACGGAGAACCCATCCTCTCCAGTTGCTGCGAGAGGCAACGAAGAGGGAACGCACCGTCGCGAGAACGCCAGTACAGACACCTAGGCGAACGCCGGGCGCAAGATTCTGGCGCGCGGTTGAAGGTTCGGGCCGAAGATCAGGGAAGAAGCGTCCGGCGAGGGTTAAGGCCAGACGTTCTTTGGTCCTACTACAACCGCAGTTGGAGGAGAAGATTGCAGAGGTGGCAACGAGGAGCAGCAGGCGGTGGGGAGGGCGGAGCCAAAGGCCGGCAAGGAACGTGAGATCACCGAGGCTGAGCGTGCAAAAACGGCGAGCACTACCCCGGGAGTTGATTCTCGGCGGCGAGTCAAGATGGGAAGAGACCACGAGCAGTTGCCGATAAGGACGGAAGCAAGAGAAAGAGGAAGCCGCGCGCGAAGGTATGGGTCACCACTTCTCCCGGCGAGCCATGTAACCTGTGCCCACGGGGGGAGCGATTGGCAGGAGGGAAACTGTATGCTGCATGTCACAGGTCGGCAGATGAGAAGGGCTTCACGCACATCGCCAGTCGCAGTTCTACGGCTAGAGATCTCTGCCACGGACTCCGATTTCCAGGGCTGGATTCCCGACGACGACGAGAAGGTACGCCTTTTTGTCCTCGTCTACTCGCTTGCTGGTTGCGACTTCCTTCCTGCCATATCGGGCCTGCCTTTCGGGACCACGTGGGCTCTTCCTCTGAAGAGCGTGCGGACCGAGGGAGTGTTTCGGACGTACATCTGCGTGCGCGAGGGTGGGGCATGGGGCGTCAAGATCGACGAGTGCATCAAGTTGTTGGCGACCATATTCTACTTCAAGTATGAAGCTGGCTTTGCTCGTGGTGGGCAGGAGCCCGGCTGGATTGTCCGCACGGACAACGGCGATGTCGCACATACATTACGTCGACGTCATCCGGATGCTTACCCTCAGGCGTGGTTCAACGAAGGCTACATCAACGTGCCCTGCGTTCGAGTCCATGCGCCGGCAGAGAGAGAGCGAGGCCATCAGGTGCTTGGGTACTGGCGAGATGGCTGTTTAGAGGTGGTACCAGTACGAGAAATCAACGGCAAGGGATGGGGGATCGACCCGAAAGCGGGGGCGACCAGCCCGGAGCACATGACAGCGGAGAATCGCGCGGTATGGCTGTCTGAGTATTCTTACGTTGGCACCGACAACAAGACGCAAACGGAGAAATATGGTTGCAAACCGGCCCCGGGTAAGAAGAGTCTCTGCGTGAGGTGCAGCTGTCGAAAAGCAGGAAGGAAATGCTAGCTGGTATTGGTGTGCAGGGCCACCTGTGGACTGATTCGCGCGGCGGAACCTGACTCAGATCGCTGCTGTTGCATCCAGCGTTCCTGCTGCGCCCACTGTTCCTGGTACACCCTCCATTCCTGCAACATCTGCCATCGTAGCCGGAGCCCTGCGTTCTCTTTTGGCGGAAAGAGCCGTTAGTCAGCAGGCAGCCGCACAGGCAGCCGCTAGGCAGCAGGCAGCCAAATCCCAAAGTGGGAATCCGATGCGTCCGACTACAGCGATGCCTTCAGCGACTGGGGATCAGACACGTCGGAGGGCGGGCCGGATTTAGGGTGGGGAAATGCGGGGGGGGGTCGAAGGTCCATGGGGGGCGACAGGAGCTGACTGGTTCTGAGGGTTCAGGAGTCGCTTTGAGGTGTGTAGTATCTGGTTCCGTGTGTATTTACCAACTTCTCGACCATAAACTGAGGGTGCGGCAGGGATTTGCGTGGTTGTGGCCCGATTTCATCGTATGAGAACGTACTACGGCGCGCAGAACGCCGAAGTAAATCCCACCCAGGTGACCTTAGTCCACATTCACCAGCCCCCATGCTCACCGCCTGCGCTTTCCGTTGTTTGCCTTTGCTGCTTTTGCTTGTGTGTGACAAAATGGTGGCAGTGACGACGACAGGTTCCTCCGTGCTAAGAAGCGTATGGTGGAGAAGGAGGAGACCTTGGAGAATGGGGTGTGGGGAGGGTGTGCTTGTGCGGGCAAGGGTGGGAACCGCACGGGCTGGATAGATAGGTGGCACCGCCACCGCTAGCCCTCTTTGCCGACTGATGTAGTGATTTGACTGTATTTGCCATCGGCCCGACGTTCGGAGCAGTCTTTCTTGTACATAATGTGGAATATTAATATTGCCTGACCCAATTCAAGAACAGGCGTTGGACAAAGTATGGCCTTTCTTCTATCGGTAACGTCATATGTGTACTTAATCGCCGGTGGAAGTCTCGTTCCACCCTATCCTTTTCACGCGTACGTCATGCTCTCCGTGGACAGCACGGGACCTCGCCCTGCCGCACTGCTGTTATTATGCGAAAAAATGCGTGCGCCCTGGCGAGAACATGCCCACGAAAAACTTGGAAGGAAAATTCTGCAGTGTATAGTATAAATTGTTCTTTTCAGGGTATCTAGAAGCGATCACGGACGGGTTCCTTTGTCCCTAGGGATCAGAAATCACTCTTCGAGAGTGTTTTTCTTGTCTCTTTTTCAAATCAGAACGGGGTCGAAAAAAATAATGATGATGATGAGGGTACTTCTTATGTGTAATATCTGATCAGATTATTTTTGATCAAGAACCATTTTTTCCAAGTTTTCTGATCAACTCGGGCGATCAGAAACCCAGATCGTTTTTTTTTCGATCAAAAAAGGCGCAAAAATGACACATAAGAAGCCGGATGTGACACCTAGATCATTATTGATCAAAAATAATCTGGCGAAAATGACACATAATAAGTAGCCTGAAAGAGAGAAGCGAGGAAACGAGCTCTCTTTTTGGTTGGCCCGCAGTTTCGCGGTGTGCATACGTGCATACAACAACATCATCGTACCAGGTGGGTTCCATTTCAGATATTGGTGCGCGCCGATTACGCGTACTCAACTTATACAGCATGATACAACCTAATTCAAAGTGCTATACATCCGCAAAAGAGACAGCTCCAAGATGCGAGACATCCTGAGGTAAACAGACTTGAGACACCTAAGCATGGCGCCACCGCGTGGATGCCATTTTTCAGCTAAATCTATCCTCCCCGCCGCCTATGCGTAACAAATCGCTACAAGAGTTTGTCATCTTGTTCTCTACCCAATACTTCGCCTTCGTGCCAAGTTTCGTGCCAATTGGCAACGTATACAGCGCGTTCTCGTATTCACCAGGGATGTGCCGTCGGCTCGCTCGAGGTTCCGCCGCGTCTTTGAGGGCTCGCATGGTTTTCTCTTTGGGGGGCCGACGTGAGGTCTTTCACTGCTGTGTTCTAGCACTGTGATGTATGGAATTTCATACTACTTGGGCCCGTCGCTAGCTATTGGAGACATCTACAGCCCAGATGCGTCATCTTGGAGGGGTGGCTCTGCTGTGTGCGTGTACAGTACCGTAGAGTGTGAATTGACACTTACGTACGTCTAACTTTTTTTTTTGCCCCGCGCAGCACACTGCACACACCCGGGTTGCACGCGGTGGAAAAAGCAAAAAAAAAGGCCCCACGGGGCTCCGTACATGGTAGCTCAGCAGACACGGTACCCGGGAAGGGGCCAGCACAAAAAAACTCGCCGCGCCATGCGCGCATGCCACGAGAGCATTACCTTTGGGGCCAGAGTTCTCAGCACACACAGCCCGGACCGCGACAAAGCCTACGGAGTACAGGAAGGAGATCACGTTGAACCTCGGTGAGTGGTTGGTATGTCCTCGTTATTCTCTTGGAGCGCGTAAGGTGGAGTGCTTTCGTCAAGAGTTTTTTCCGGCACCCTCCGTAAATGACAGCAGCGCCGTCGCACGAGAAGGTCATCTTCAGACGCTAGGTCGGCCCCGAGGAACGAACGAAATCGACTGGCGATTTCGTTCCCCAGTAGGAATGTGACAAAAGAAGCCTCCAGGGGTTGCCCTAATTTTGGATCGCCACTACCTGTGCCGTAGTCGCGACGAATTGAACACCATGTTCGTGCGGTGTATCTTGCGGATTCTCCACCCCCTGCGTCGGGTCTCGTGTGTTTGTAGTGAGGGGTAAGGCGGTTGTCACGATGACACCAGCGGAGCTCACTCGCACTATGTAAAACTGAGCCTTGGGCCATGTCTAGCAATAGTTCACCACTATCAGCATCGCATAAACCATGGGCCGTCCCTGCTGTATTTCCATTTGGCAGGAATGTTCTCGCCGAGAGCGGCGGCGACCTGCAGTGCCTGCCGTCGCCAAGACGATGGTGCAGGTCTCCGCCAGCCTAGGCTGAGGGTTCGGGATAGAATTCAAGAGTTCAGCATGGAAGTCAGTGTCTCCCAGCGTTTCCCGCAACTAGAGTTTTCGGTCGAACATACGTTTCATCTTTGCAAGCGTGGGGGGTGCCTGCTTGACCTGTTCACGAAGCAAGAAGACAAGGAGAGGGGTGCCATCAAGCGCCTGCAGCCCCGGAAACGCAAACAGAGGAAGGATGGCCGTGTTCCTGAACCGACCATGCACTTCAAACGCCGACCCCTCGACCGCTATTGCACGTCGCCCGAGGCGGTGAAGGCTTTGCTCGCGGAGGTGATCATTGAAGGGCTTGTACTCGATATGTGCGGTGGGTCTGGGGACGCCGTGGCAACCACCCTCGCGCGTACCTGCTGTG